TAATGATTTCTTTAGAAAACTATTGCAAAAATAACGTATTTCAATATAAAATTTGTATTATGTTTATAATTGTGACAATAAAAATATTTGTAGTCAAAAATCTTTAAATAACGCTTACCATGCGTATCCAAGCCTAAGCAAAAATGTATGGGAAAGCGTTGTATTAGGTCCGGATGACATGGCAAGCGTTCGTAATTTTTTGACAAAACTTATTGATTTTTGTAAAAATTTAAATATTTATTGCATTATTTTTGAAGAGTCAAATTACGATACAAGGAAGTTTATCAAAACATTTTTTTTTATTTACTGTGTGGATGCCTAACGATTTTTTTTTCGCGACCCAATTATTTTTCAAGCAATATTTACAAAAAATTATATATGTAATCTATCAAACTACAATATTTAAATCTAATGAAAAACCCTGTAAAATGTTTTGTATTCTAAATCTTAAAAAATATGACGTAACGTTAAAATCTAAACCATAAACATAAAATAAAAGTTTTTCTGGAGCAAATGTAATTTATGATTTTATTTTCCCGAATCGAGAGCCTTGCCTAATTCAAAATTGAATATAATTTTTCTTTTATAAATATTTTAAACGTTTCATCAATTTGAAATGTCTCCTTCTTCGGAATTGAAACGATATATGCATGTTTTTTTATAAATATAATTATATGATTAATTATTAACTGAAAGGGGGGAGTACTGTGGCGACGGTGTTGAATAAATAACGCAAATTACAATTGTTGTATTACGATTTGGACTTAAAATTTATATAAATTTTAAGAAATTTTGTTCAAAAATAAAATAGAAGAATGAAACATGTCAAAGACATTTATAAATCGATTACATTCTGAAGAAGATGGCATCCCAGAGGCCAAAAACGTAGAAAGTATTTTTTATGGAAAAAATTATTTTTTTTGGTTTTGAAAAAGGGAGGTTTATAGGCTTTTGATTAGAAAAATAGAATCATAAAATTATTTTTTAGCTCAAAAAAACTTTTTAGAAAAATCTGGTAATTTTGAAACTTTTCAGCAACTTGTTTTCGTTTTCAAAAATCACTATAAAATTGTTTTTACTGAATCTGCTAAAAGATAAATTTCGAATATTAATTATTTTTTTAACAAGTTTTTTATGGAATAAAGTGATATTAATTATTATAATTTGAACATATTTTTGGATATTTTAAATTTAAAGAATATATTTGGACTGGCAAAATTCAATTTTGGAAAAAGTCTAGATATTTTTAGAATAAAAACAAGTAATCTGGTACGTCGTACTTTAATTTTTTTCAATTTATGTTATTTAAATAATAAACTACGCAAACAATTAATTTTTTAATTTTTTATAGTGATTTTTGACAAAAAAAAAACAAATCGAAACTCAAATAATTAAATAAATAAGGAATTTAAAAAACACAGATAAATTTAAAAACAAAACTTTTCATTGAAAAAACAAAAAAAAAATGAAAAAAACATACGTTTTTAAATTGGAAACAAAATTAAAACTTTCGAAGCTTCAAATTTAAAAAAAACAGATGTTTTAATTCGAAACAAAATCAAAACTTTCAAAAATTAAATTGAAATAAAAAATAAAGTGAAATAAGTATTTAGAAAATTCAGATGTATTTAAATTAAAAACAAAAATGAAACTTTTGAAATTTCTAAAATTATGTAAAGAATGAAGTTTAACGAATCAAACATTTTTAAATTCAAGAATACAAAAAAATCAGCCGTTTTTGAATTCAAAACAAAATCAAAACTTTCGAAGACTAAAAGTTTGCATAAACAAAAAAATTTAAAAAAAACACCAAATGTTTTTAAATTCGAAGCAAAATTAAAACTTTTGAAACTCAAAAATATCAAAACAAAATAAAAACTGTCAAAAAGTTTCAATAAAATTTTTGTCGTGTTTTTAAATTCCAATATTCAATTAAAAAATATGTATTTATGTTTAGTTTACGTATATATATATAGTTAGTAATACTGTTAAAACTGTTTATATATAAATATATTTTTTCTCTACTAACTACTATTTCCAATAATACATTAAAACTAAAAGAAAATTCCGTATACAAAAAATCAGTTGGGAGACTTAATAGTTTATAAAAACTATTTTACATATATACCATCATTAATAAATTGGCAAGAAATAGTAAACCAACACGATAACCAATTTAACGATATATACAAATGTATATACAACTCTATGCAAGACATGAATTTAGAATTTGTTTATTAACAATTATGATAGTATATATAGGAACAAATTATTTATATATATTAACGCCTTTAAATGTGACTATCCATTTCAAAAGACTTTTTTTGTGATATAGTTTTCTTTCCTACGATACTATTAGTCTCCAAATTCTCTATTACTCTACTAGAATTTACTCTCAAAAAATGGATATAGTATAAATAAATTACTAAGAATTGTTGGTTTTAGTATAAATGTGATGAATAGTCTATGCTTCGTACGAACAATCCAAAATAATTTTTAAAATATCAAGATTATAATTACAATTTATTCCCGACGTTTCGGAACCATAATACTTCCCATCAACGTGCAATCTGTGAGGAAAACGTTTTTAGTTCAAACATAAATGAGAAAATTATTTGTTATAAAATTGTTATTATTTATTATAAAATGAATGAATGAGTGTAAATAAATCTCGTTATGGAAAAAATTAAAATGATAAGTAATATAATGAAATAAATTAAAAAACATACAAGACATGACTCTTTATATTTCATTTTTATATTTGTTTGTACTTAAGTTATTTAACTTATTAAATAACTTTATACTGCAGTAAATGTAATTTATTTTTCAAAAATTTAGACAAAACCTCAAAAGCATATTTTTATATGTTAAATATTTTATGGAATAAATTTTACGGATTTTTGAACTTTGTTTTATTTTGCCAGATTGTAATGTTTAAATAAAAGCTATTTCATTCAAAAATTTAATTCCAACGTGTATATTTTTATTGAAAAAATATATAGTTAAAACCCCCAAAAATAGACACTATGATATAAATTACTCATTTGTTGATTGTAAATATTTTTTACAGATTTTTAAACTTGCTACTATAAATATGGCATTCTAAAAAAGCTCGTAGCTATGAAGCAACAAATTTAAAAGGTTTTAAAAAATATTTGAAATAAATAAAAAATTAATTTTGATTTTAATATATATTTTTAGAGTTTTTACTATATATTTCTAAAATAAAATATATACACGTTAGAATGTATTTGATAAATAAAATAGGTTTTTATTCAAACATGACATATTTTTTCCGAAGTCTTTGTATAATAGAAATAATAAAATAAATATATTTGTTCAAAATTTTCAAATTTTTGACATCGTAAGGTTAAAATTTGGAAAGAAATGACTTTCTAAATTTTTTGAATTTAAATTTTTATGAATTAGAATTGTGAAAAATAACAAAACTATTAAAAAAGTCTAATATTAAAAATCATAGAAAAAAGTGTTCGAAAATTATAAAAAAAATACAAATCCTAGATTTATTTAAAATATATCGAATTTGAAAATGCAATAAAATAAATATATTGATTACAAATTATCAACATTTTCAAATTATATCTTGACATTGTAAAATGAAAAGAAAAATGAATTTTAAAATTTGAGAAATAATAAGAAAATAATATCTATGAAAAATAACAAAAGCATTAAAAAAATGCCTAATATTAAAAATCATAGAAAAGTGTTTGAAAATTATAAAAAATTAAAAATCAGAGATCTTTCTTTGCAAAAATATAAAGTTTTGAATAATTTTAATATGTATATAACTGATATGAAATAGGATCTACATATTTGTTACGTAATATTATTTGCAGTCGAGTCACGTAATTTTTATGTAACTATTTCGTAATGGAGTTACGTAAGCTTCATATTTGTTACACTAAAATTACGTAACTGGTTTTGTAGTTATTTAATATTATAAAATACGCTTTGAAGATTTTTTTGATGGCCAATTTGCCAGGGAAAAAATTATAAACATTTATTGTCCTAAAGATAAAATAAAAAAAACATTCGTAATTCACAATAGGTAATATTGTTTGTAGGCGATTTACAAAATGTTTATGTAACTATTTCGTAATCGAGTTACGTAATGTACGTTTCATATTAGTTACACTGAAATTACGTAACTGGTTTATTGTAGACATGTATTTACTACAGTAAAAATTTATAAAAATATTCTTAATTAATGTTCTGAAGATGAAATTTATAATAGCTCCGAAACGTCGACCATAAATTATATTAAAAACAGTAAATTTTACTTCTATCCTGATGTTTGATTTAATAATATATTAAATCATTTCAAAAAATAAGTTATAAGTTTATATTCGAATTGAAAATAAAATAGGATCTACAATTTTGTTATGTAATATTTTTGCAGGCGATTCACGTAATTTTCATGTAACTAATTCGTAATATCGAGTTACGTAATGTACGTTTCATATTTGTTGCACTAAAATTATGTAACTGGTTCATTGTAGACATATATTTACTACAGTAAAAATTCCGAAACATCGACCAGAAATTATATTAAAAAAAAACAGTAAATTTGACTTCTATTTAAAATATTTTTGAATAATATATAAAATCATTTTAATAATAATTGAATGAGTTAGTCGTTTATATTCTATGAAATTATATATAATATTTCTCTTAAAAATGAGTTCTAAACAGATCTCGCGTTGATGGGAAGTATAATGGTTCCGAAACGTCGACAATTGTACGATTAAAATCAATTTTTTGTTCAAAAAATTCATATAAATTTCTTTCCATTTTTTGAGAGTTTATTATACATTCATCTTAGCGTACGTAGTTAGAAGTATAAAAAAATCCTATATTTTAAATCTTAATATAATTATGATGTATATATTTAAATATATATATATATATATATATATATATATACATATACATATATTTGTATAGACTTAATCCTAACACATTCAGATGCTACTTTGGTTACTAGAATTTCTGAGATTTAATCTACTAAAAGTGTGATATTTCAAAAATAAGTTCTTCCCTTAAATATATAAACATGAAATATCAAATTAAATTAATATTAATACAATTAATTATTGCTAATTATTTCATTAACAAATCCCAAGTTCTCAGAATCTATTGTCGCGACAAACGGATCTTGTCTCGTTTCCATTGGACTAAAATAAATAATTTAGACTAAAGTATGTATCTTACCACAGACTGATTTTTTTTTCTGAAAATATCCTTGGCTGGTATTAAATTAATAACTGCCACTGTCTTGTGTCCTGTGCCTTGTTACATCATCTCGAGACACATAGTTTGTTAACTTGACCGGTAGAGCACCACTGGTCGTGTTCAACTGGTAGAATTCTATGAGCTGCTGCAGATCGTAAAACCTAAACAAAAAAAATAATAAATACAAATTATAATTCAGATTTCAAACCTCAAATAACTTTATTTCTTTTCCCCCTTACTTTGTTTCCCCTCCGTCCAGCGAATAGACAACATTGCCCGCACAACAGTTTGATCCGTGATTACTTTGTGATGATTGTCTGGTACCTTTTGTGTTCGAGAAATTGTTAATGTTGTTTCTCGAATCATTTTTGTTGTTGCTCGTGTTGGAATTGTTGGACGTGTTGTCGTTTTGTGATTGCTCCAACATTGGCCTGATGTGAGCGTGGCAGGCCCTGCCTGCATGTCTGTAGGTCAACACGAAGTGACCACGAGTTGGTGATGATCGAGACTCTCTGACCAGGAAAATACTAAAAGAGGTAAAAGATACATTAATGTATGTATATGTATATATATATATATATATATATATATATACTAGCTGTCCCGGCAAACGTTTTGCCATCAAAAATATTGTGCCGCTTTGCAGAAGTTCTTATAATATACATGATATATTAATAATAATGTTATATTTTTATCACACAAATTTCTTTACATTTCGATAATTAAATCCAACGCATCATAGTGTTTTGTTTATTTTAATATTATTTATGTCAAATAGTGAAATTTTTTTTTAAATCAATGAATAAATTAGATTTCAGTCTGAATCAACGCAGTACCATCATCTAAATATATAATTTTTTATATAAATATCAGATTTTTTACTTTTGCATTTAATTTAAAAATAATGAATGTCAATTTCATAAATCGAAATTTGGTCTAAATTTAATATATGATATAATTTATAATTATAATTTGATTAGCAATAAGTATTATGCTAACAATATGTATTAGGGTGGTCCTTAATATGGACATACTCGAATTTCCTTGCTCCCAGAAGCTTAAATGCTTCTAAATTGATAAAAAAATATTCTCTGAAAGTTTTAGCTCCTAATATTAACTCTAACATAGCCCGCACTTCAACCAAAGTTTCTTGGTCCTTTTTCCTACTTAGTTTAAAAAATATATCAAATTTTTATTGTAATTTTTTTATTTATGATCAAAATAAGCAAATACAATGTTATTCTCAAAATTTTAATTCACTTGTGGCTAAGTTAAAAAACAAATGGAATATTTCCCTTGTTATTTCCATAAAAACTTTGTTTAAAGTGCGGACTATCTTAAAGTTAATATTAGAAGCTAAAACTTTCAGAGATTTTTTTTTCGTCAATTCGGAATCATTTGAGCCCTTGGAAGCAAGGAAATTCGAAAACATCCATATTAAGGACCACCCTAGTATGTATATATCTTGTATATAAAATTTCCATGTCACAAAGTTCGTTCCAAATGGCTTCACAATTTTTTACCAAATTTTATATGCAAATTCAGTAGGTCTGATAATCGTCTACTATCTACTTTTCATAACCCTAAGTAATAAGGGTTGTCCACCCTTAAATTTTTTGAGTTAATTTTTCAAAAAAATGTTTTTATTTTTGTATAATGTGGCATTAAAAAATACATACAACCTTAAATTTTTACTTTTTTATCACCAACCCCTATTTTTTATAGCCATTTTAGTAATTCTATCAATTTTCATACCGCGTTCAGTCATATAATATTTTTGACTATTAATTTTAGTTCAAATTTTTGAATTTGCTTTAAAATATAATTTATTTTTATCAAGGGTTGGTTCAACCCTAACACTTTTTTTTCAATTTTGGAGCCAATTATCTTTTTTTTTTTAATCGGAATTGACAAAATACATATAACTGTTTTTACTTTAAAAAACTATGTTTATCTAGGGTTGTCAACCCTTAACATTTTTTCAAAATTTTGAAATCAATTCAATTTTAATTTTAATTTGACCTATTATTTGACATAATTTTAGTTAAATTTTAAACGGTTAGATAGTGCGCAATTCAATGGAAATAGCATGGAAAACATTTTGAAAATTAAAAAAAAAATTTTTTAGGTATAACTTAGCGACAAATTTTGAATAAAACTCATTCATTTGTTCGCTAGATTATATCTAAAAACATTTTTAAAATTTTTGAAAATTTTTTCATGCTACTTCCATACAAAACTTTGATTGAATTGCGCACTATCTAAAAGACAATATTAAGAGCTAAAACTTTCAGAAAATTGTTTATCAATTTGGAAGCATTTGAGTCCTTGGGAGTAAGGAAATTCAAAAATGTCCATATTAAGGACCACCCTAATATATATATATATATATATATATATATATATATATTAACAAAGTCTAGTAATCGGGCCTAACATCAATAAAAACCTGAAATTCTTTTAAATCCACACGTTTCGGCTATAATCCTAGCCTTCATTCAGTGGTAACTAAAAATGAAATTAAAACTAAAACAACTGAATTGGAGTAAAAAGAAAAAATACAATTGTAAATAGTACTTACAATTAATAAATCTTAGTGTTAAATTGAAAATTTTAATAATCGATGGTATCAGGATATGGTAATGCACGACACTATGTATTATAAACATAAAACTTGTAATTACACAATATTTTCACAAAATACTAATATAAAAAATCACAATTGAATAATGTGTTGTTCGTAGACTGATTGAAGATATAATGGAGAAAGGACTTCTTAAAAAAAATTTTTACCAAGATTCTACACATGTGCGGAACGAATTGCTAATCCTTTGCGCGTTGTTTTTATTGTTTTGTGAGAAATTTGGAAATACTATCTAAATAAAAGAGATTTGTGTCGCCCACAGCGTGTTAAGTTCATTCCGTTTATTTATTGTTTGATTGCTATAAATAGTTAACAAAAGATCCTTCTATAATGAGGAATAAATTTTGTTCGAATTGTAGTACAGTCGGGTTAGAAAAGTCCATATTGTGTTTTAAAGTATAAATATGCTCCGCAATCATAGTTTTAAACTGTCTTGGATTTGTTGAATTTTTTTTATGTTGTTCTAAACGTTTAATTAAGTTCTGGCTTGTTTCTCCTATGTAAATTAAATCACAATCTAGACAATTAATTTGATAGACGAGATTTCTAAGTCGTTCGATAATAACAAATATATATATATATATATATATATATCCATTATCCATTCTCCCTTATCCCTTATCTTACCCGTCTCCAGTCGGCGGCGTCTGCCTATTAACCAGAATAGCGGCCGCCTGCTCCCTCGTCACTCCAGGATGGAACCACTGCTTCGTCAAATGCGACATGTTCTGCTGGTAGTTCTGCTGATTCTGCATCAGTACACTATTGCCAGTGGGGCTCTTCGAGAACTGCGACCCCATCATCTGCTGCTGTCTCCGAGACACGTGGTGGTTCGATATCAATTGAATCGAAGTCGGTGGTGTGGTGCCCGAGTTGTATGTGGCGGTGGAGTGGTGGTTCAGGTACAAAGTGTTATTGCCGGGCGCGGAACCGTGGTGATGGTTGAGATGGTTGTTGGATGGAGAGAGTTGTTGTGAGGACGGGGAGGAGTTGGTGGAGGAGTGGTGCTGGTTACGGTTCTGAGGAGAGAAAAGATTTATTAGAACTATATCATAGTACAGTTGTATTAACTTCCCGTAGGATAGTTATAGTTTTTTTTTTCATCTAAACTACAACTGCCTGAGAAGGCATTCAGTAATTGTTGTGATTAGTTATTAACTTCCCGTTGGGCAAGTTATAGTAATCGCAAAAAAATCGAAAATGAAAATTTTTATATATCTTTACGTTTCAGAGGTTTCTGAACATTTTGGCATACCTTAGAAAAAAATGGATGTATGTGTGTGTGTGTATGTGTGTGTGTGTGCGTGTGTGTATGTATGTGCGGATACAAATTTTCGTCGACGATTTCGGGAACACGGATCAACCGATTTGAATAATTCAAAAAACATTCGATTCGCATTGATAAGGAGACGTGCTGATTAGTTTTTGGCAAAGGCAGGTCTAGCCGTTTCGGAAATACGGGGCAAAAAGTACCGGAAACGGTAACTCAGTTTTTGAGAGAACGGAGCGTCCGATTTTAATAATTCAAAAAACATTTTACTTGTATTGACAAGATAAAGAATTGATCAAATTTTCATAAAGGCAGGCCTAGCGGTTTCGGAGATCTAACGAAAAAAGTAAAAAAAAATGCCATTTGGCGGTCAAAAATGATCATTAGACATATGCACATCAAATTTTTAGATATTTTATAGAGATTTTAACAATAAGTATAAATTTTGTTTATTTTCCTATGGGTTCCGTATCAATGTTTACCCGTTAGACAGCGACGCCGCGCATACGCGCTTTATATTTTGTCTCTATGCAGTTAAAGCAGTGCGATTGCTTTGAAAAACAAGTTCAGATCTTCCAAAATATGTCAAAACAAAGAAAACATTTTTTTTCAAAAAAAAAAAAATTAAAAAAATTTTTTAAAAAAAAAAAAAATAAAAAAAAAAGTAATTTTTTGTCCAATTTATAGTTTGTCAAAAATCTTATTTTTTCGAAGTAAATTTTTTTCAAAAATGTTAATCGTTTTTAAAAAAAATAATAATTTTTGGTACGGGAAGTTCTAGCAATTTGCCTTAAGGCACGATGCCCTAATTGCCTTAAGACAGAATTCCACTTACAGCTAGTTAAATAAGTTTTTAACACTAATTTTGGTAACCATCCAGCATACGTAGCAAACTGAGAATTTCTTTGAAGATTTATAACTTATGAAACCGTATTATCAATATCGCTAGTACGACGTATAAAATATATAACGTTGTTACCATCCTACATATAGCTAAACTTTTAGTAAAAAAAAAATGATGATAGGTACGATTGAAGCAATATAACTGCTATAAATACCGACAGGACTAAAAATCAAGGACTTCAACTCTCAAATAATATTTACAATTTTGGAAGATAAGAAAGAAGATTCTAATTTTCACTTACATACACATATGTTGAAAAAATTACACTAATACGGGAGTTAATTTAATTGGTATTAGCGTCGGGACTGGTGTAGATGTCATCCATAAAATAGTCAGAAATCATTCGGTAAAATATGAATTTTAGAGAGAATTCATCAAGGATTTACATTATTTTGGATTTATTCAGGATAAATCCATTGTTGTCACATAAAGGAATTACGGGAAGACAATGTACAAGGCAGGAACTTTTTATTCCAATTAACTTGCCGTATAGTTGCAACAAGAATTCAGAAAAAAATCAACTAAGTACAAGTACAAAACAGATTCTCTAAAAGAAAATATTCCAGATAATGATTTAGAAAGATGATAGGGCAAACAAAATCAGCCAAAAACGTAAAAAATGCGTGTGTAGAAAATACACTCCAAGAAAAAAATCGTGAAAAATTGGATAAAACAGTATAAAATGAAGATTTCGTATTCTAAAATAAAAGAACAATATTGTATTTGTATTTATAAACTCTTAAACTAGCATTAACTCTTCATTCAATACCGAAAAATACCGATTTTGCATGACCGGTCATTTGACCGGTCGCGGTAGGAATAGCGAACATGAAATGTCGGTAGGAATAGTGTTAAAATACTACCCATTAGTAGCATTTCAAGTTAGTATAATAAATATAAATATGTCACAATAATTGCAAGCAGATAATAAATATAAATATGTGTGAATAATACAAGTACTATACTAAATATATAACTATACTAAGTCTAATGGATCTAATCTTCTTAGTCTCTTGACAATGTTCGCAGAAAGTAGATCCTTTGCTAGTTCATTTGACTTATATTTCGCAGCAAATCAGGGTAGTTATAGTAATGGGCCAAAAATCGAAAATGAAAATTTTTGCATTTCTCGGAATTTTGAAGGTTTTTGAACATTTTACTGGCATACCTCAGAAACTAAATGAATCTGTGTGTGTGTGTGTGCGTGTGTGTGTTTTGTATGTCCGCATTTTTCCGTCCACGTTTTCGGGCGCACGGATCATCCTATTTGTATGATCCAAAAAACATTCAGTTCGTAATAACGGGGAAGAGTGGTTATTAGTTTTTGGCAAAGACAGGTCCAGCCGTTACGGAGATACGGAGAAAAGACTGCAGAAAATAGAAATCGAGTTTTTGAGAGAACGGAGCATCCGATTTATATGATCTAAGAAACATTCAGTTCGTAATGACGGGGAAAAGTGGTTATTAGTTTTTGGCAAAGGTAGGCCCAGCGGTTTCGGAGATACAGAGCTAAATGTTAAAAAAATGGCAGTTTTTGAAAGAACTAAGCGTCCGATTTAAATGATTCAAAGAACTTTCTGTTGTTTCAACAAAATAATTGCTTTCGGAAAAAAAAATTGTTTCTAATTTTTTTTTCAAAAATTTTTTTGTAATTTTGGATTAAAAATTCAAAAAATTACCCAGGCTAAGCACAGTCTAAGCGCCGCTCTGGTACAAATGTTTACCCACTGAAGCACTTTTCCAATTTTGTGAAAACTATTAAAAAACGTGAAAATGCCCCGCCAAGCTAAGCGCAGTATAAGTGAAAATGTCGCACAGAATTATTTGCAAATGCGTTTAGACTGTGACTATACGGAAGCACTTTTTCAATTTTGTGCAAATTAGGCAACTATTTTTTTTTTTTAAATTGAATTCGAAATCGAAAATGACGATTGTTAATGTTCTGGAAATAAATTGATTGATTTATGATTTACATTTGATTTGCTCGGATATATCGAGATATCAAAAATAGTGAAAGTTACAGTATTTGTAATAATATATTTGAAAACGTTTAAAATTTCTCGAATATATCATTACGGTACGGAAAGTTCCAGCAATTTGCTTTAAGGCACGATGCCATGTACTCCACTAGTTTTTCTTACTTACCGGTATGATATTACTGGAATTCGTCATAATGAACCTATTATCTCTGTCACTGAATGGAGGCGGTTGTTTTCTTTGTGTGGGGCGCCATCGGCGCCTCCAGGAGCACCCTTCGGCGTCCGCCACTGCCAAAGCCTATAAAAGAAAAAAAATCGTAAGTGCATTTTTTTTGGTTACATTTACGTTTCAAGGAAGTCCGAACATTTTGGGCATACCTTAGAAAAAAATTATGTAAGTGTGTGTGTGTGGGTATGTATGTGCAGATGCAATTTTCCGTCGGCTATTTCGAGAGCACGGATCAACCGATTAGAATGATTCAAATATCCGATTCCTATTGATGAGCTGATTAGTTTTTGGCAAAGACATGTACAGCCGTTTCGGAAATACGGAGCAAATAGTGCAGAAATTGGTAATTCGGATTTTGAAAGAACGGAGCATACGATTAGAATGATTCAAAAATCACGTACTTGTATTGATGTTGCAAACAATTGATTACATTTAGCGAAGGCAGGTCCAGCCATGTCAAAGAAGCAAAAAAAAGTTAAATTGACATTTGGAGGCCAAAAATGATAATTTTGAATTATTTTTTCCAAATCAAAAACCAAAATTCCTAAAAAAAACAGGCATAATGCTTTAGGTCGGCGCAAAAATTTATATTAAATTAATTATATATAATTCTTAATGACTAAGTTTGTGGTCGACATTTTGTAAAAAGTGCGAGTACAAGTTCCATTGCCGGTCTACATCGCAGTGCACAATTGAAAACAAAATTTTGGTATATAAAATGAAGGTCAAACTCAACATATTGCGTTCACAAATTAATCTTTTATTTACCGTTATATAAAAAGACTATATCTCATATAAAATGGAAATCATGTCTGGATCTACATTCATATGAGTTAGTTGCAATAAACTGTCAAAAAGCTATGTATTTTCTGTGCAATCTATCAGGCGTTTAAACATAAAATCTAACCTCCAAAAGACACAAAGGTCTTCACAATTTTGTCATAAGTGCATATTTCTGTTGTCACTTTGATAAACTTGCGTGAAGTCTAACTAAAGGTAATATTCTGATATTTGTGTGTTTTGGGGGTTAGATTTTTGGTGTAAGATGCCTGATCGAACAGCTATCGTGACTACCAATTTATAAGAAGATATACCCGTAACTTCTATTTTAACTATAAAACTTCTATTTTATTTTAGAATTGTCTATATTTGTCCGCAATAGTCAAGTTCATTATATTACAGTTGTTCATATTTCTTCTATTTATTGTTATGTAATTCTTGACTAATTAACCTAAACAATAATAATAATTTATCGAATTGCATAATTCAATTTGAAGCTCATTATCGTTCTGTATAACAGTTGCATAATAGCCGAGTTAAACAAATTATAAATATTATTAAATTACATTTGACAAAGGCGACGACGTTGTTAAACAATTATAAGATAACCATTTTCAATTAAGAAGTGAATGAATGAACGATAATAGATTTGAAATAATTGATGATAAATTATTCGTTGGTTATAATAATTTGAATTCTATTTTTATTAATCGAATTGATGATGAATTAAATAAAAAAAATTAAAAATAAATAAAACTTTTACCTCAGCAGGATCTTCAACAATCCGTCCTTGGGCTCCAGTGAAGTCCATCGCCACTCGCGACCGCAAAGAATCCTTAAAAAAAATATGGAAAATAAATATTATTTATAATAAATAAGGATAATAGATCTATTTTCAGATAAGGTTATTTTCTCATAATATAACTGGCCGAAATTACTATTTGTTCGATTGGCAATCTATCTAAAAAAGCACAATCTCGCTTTTATCATACAAAAAATAACCAGGACGAAACCGAATTGAATTTTCAAAACCGCTTTAAAATTTTTTTCGGAAAATCATTTTTTATTTGATTGCTGACCATCGAGCAAAAAATACAAGCAAGTGCCAAGTGGAAGACAAATAAGCAAATACATAAAATATTTTAAAACATTAAAATCTTTTATACTTTTATATTATATTTTACATTATATTAAAACTACATAAAAATAATACTATTCACCTTCGTTTCTTTTGCAATTTCCACAAATTTCTTCTCGTTACGGGACAAAAATTTATTCACTGTTTTCATATAATCTATCATTATTATAGATTTATTAAATATTAATTTAAAAAACCACTAATTTTTTTTTTTTTTTGAATTTATTTATTTTTATTCATCCATTCTAGTAAAACGTCAATTTGAAACTGACGAAGGAATCGAATTGTTTAAACAAATTGCAACAAAATGCAAATTTATTTTCATACATATTCAAAAGTAGATAAATATTGTAATATATATATATATATATATATATATATATATATATATATATATATATATATATACATAGTAGTAGATACATTTTTAATACTTTGTAAGCAATTGTGAGTATTTTAAATTCCAAAAGCGTTAAAATTAAAATACAAGATTTTCCCAGACATTATCAGAAAATGTCAGTAATTCTATATTATTTTATGTAACATTGTATACTAAAAAAATTTGCAAATTTTACTAAAACATTCGTTAAAAATGTAAAAATGACATCCAGGTTGTTCTAGTGTAATAAATTAATGATAAAATAAAAAAATGATATATAAAATAATAATAATAATAATAATAATGCCAGAAATTTGATATAAAAAATATATGCCAAATAAATTAAGTACGTTTTATACAATTTCGTTTATTCATTTTATATTTAGAATTTTTATTTTTTTATTTATTTATTATTAATTAGGGAATAAACTTTACACTAGGTTTTTTTACTTGATAAACAGTGAATTCGATCAAATTCACAAAAATTAAATAATTAAAAAAATGGACAAAAAAATAATACAAATTGTTATTACAATTATTTTTATGAAAGTTTATGACGACAGAATTGATCAGGTCATAGAAACTTCTGTAATCATTTTAACAATTATTTAATTATTTTAACAATTTATATTATCTGGAAAATTGCAATCATTTTTTAAAAACATTATTATATCGTTTATTGATACCACAGATATCATTTTATATGTTTTATTAGTTATGATTTGTTTTTGTGGTAAATAAATAAATAATAAATTAATATAAATAATGCAATTAAATAAATATATATATATAAATAAACAAATAAAATGAAAGCTACTGGGGATATGAAATAATTTCTGTATTATCTATACTAATTTATTATGAATAAGTTTCTACAAAACTAGCAACCAAAGTAGTATTTTTATTCAATAAAAATACATAAATAAATAAATTTATTTATAAGGTTTAATAATAAATTTACTTCAGATCTATTATTAAATTAATGACGATTGCAATAGACACAGGTGTTATTTATATTGGGCAATTACGCGTTTTATTAAACAAATAAATGTAATAAATTTCTCAATAATTGCGTATGCAATATTTTTAAATAAAGATGATCATTATATATATATATATATATATATTTTCGAATTTCCTTGCTCCCAATTTTTATTAACTTTAAGATAGTTCGCACCCTAGGAAACAACAAAATTTTATTAACTTTAGGATAGTTCGCACCCTAGGAGCAAAAAAATTAGAAAATATCCATATTGAGGACCACCCTATAATATATATATATATATATATATATATACATACATGCTATGTATCATATTTCCATATGTAATTTATGTATCCAATATGAATGTTCGAACATGATTCAACATGTAATGTATGTACATTTTCAATACGATTCCAAAATGATTATATAAGAATACAAATTAAAAAGCATTCAAGTCCGAACCATTAATTAAGATACGCTTATTTATAACAATGTTGTAAAAAAAAAGTCCAAAGTCATCGCGGATATATAAAATTGTGGCGTGATCGAATAAAAGTTAAACTAGTGGTGTATGATAATGGACTTATTAATTTTCTCAAATTGATATAAAATTTATGAGTTATGTCAGCAAAAAGATTTTAACTTATTGTTAGCCAATAATAGCTTGATAATTTTTTTTTTTTACAATATCTCTTTAAGTTGCATCAGAATATCATGGTCATTTTGTATATTTTGCAAAAATATGTCGAATTGGTTTATAAATTACTTTTACAAATATAATATTTGAATTGAGCTCGTCGAGACCTTTTAAACGAGTACCCACATGCCCATATTTGACGTGACAAGGTTTTGGTCTGTATTGACCCACCGTACTATATATAGTTCACCAACTCGTCTATGTACTTATTTGTTAGAACTCTTGTAACTTTCAAACGGTTTATCTAATGCAAGTGAAATATTTGGCAAATTTCTACAAAATAACATCATCTACAATACTGCCTTATATAACTTTGACCTACCGATACTCGGTGTACTTTAAAATCACAATTTAAAACGCAAATGTTTTTAAATGCTGAGAAGTACTAGATATGGATTGCTATATGGATTTTTGTTGTTTTGAATTTAAAATTTGAATGTATCTCATCAAGACGTTTTAAATGAGTACCCACATGCCATATTTGACGTAACAACGTTTTGGTCTGTATCGACCCGCTGTACAGTATATAGTTTAGCAACGCGTTTGTGCATTTATTCATTACAACTCTTGTAACTCCTAAACCGTTTGTCTAATGTAAATGCAATATTCGACAAATTTTAACAAAATTAAATAATCTTTAATACGTTCTTTAGTGATAATGTCATACAGCAACTCTATATCCTTTAAAATGAGAAATAAAAAACAGAAATGAATTTTTAAAAATTAAAATATGTATGGTACGGAACCCTCCATGTTTTTTTCAGATTTTCTTCCTAATTTGAATTGGTCTCATCGAGACATTTTAAACGAGTACCAACATGCCATATTTGACGTGACAAAGTCTTGGTCTGTATTGACCCACCGTACTATACATAGTTCACCAACTCGTTAGTGTACTTGTTTATTAAAACTCTTGTAACTCCTAAACCGTTTGCCTAATGTAAATACAATATTCGACAAATTTGTGTAGAATTAAATAATTTATAAAACGTTTTTTAGTTATAATGTCCTACAGCAACTCGATATACTTTAAAAACGCAATCGAACAGAAAAATAATGTCACAGAATGAAATATGCCTTATCTTATATGGTACTCTATATCGCTTTTATGGTTTGTAAGTTTGATATTTCAATAGACTTCTTTGGGACCTTTTTAAAGAGACCCTACATGCCACATATCTTGGTCTGTCTGTATTGACCCACCGTACTAAATATAGTTCAGCAACTCGTTTGTTTATTCATATATTACTTCTTGTTGTCATAATTATGTATTACTACTTTTAATTGGAAGATAACTAGACTTCAAAATATAGATTCAAAAATACTTAGTGTATTTTTCAAAAATTATGTAAAAATTTTAAATTTTACAAGAGAGCATTACGTTTATTCTAGAAGAATATGACTTATTATTAAATGAGTTAGTTTTTATATTGAATAATGTACGGCGACACGTGCTCATATTAATTACTCACACAATTTAGATAGAAGGTGATATTAATTACCATTTTCAATTAATTATTCATTAAATTAATAGACACAGTTTACAAAGTCATTAAAATAATGCATTCAAAGTCGCGCGATCTTATCTGTCTCTTATATCATGTATATTAATAAAATTATATATATATATATATATATATATATATATATATATAAATTAAAGAATTTACTATAACAAAAATTCCTTTAAGGAAACTCTGGTTAATCAAATCAATTGTTTTAATATACATCGGCAAAACTCAGCAAAACTTATTAAAACGACTTCAGAAACATCTAAAAATGCTAAACAATTTAAGACTATGCTTACAGAACAAATTAGTACATTGAAACTTTTTTTTTTGTTAATCAAGACTTTAATGTTTTATTTACAAAATTGATATGTGCAAAAAAATAAATAACAGTACATTAATACATGATATAAAGTTATAGACTATCAACCACAACAAAAAAATTACCAAATTTCTTTTGAACGATGACACGCACGTAATGTCAAAACGTCCAAAATAAATATATTTTATTATTTATTACTTAACAAGATTTTTATCATTAACTTTGGCAACTGGTCAAAATTCGCAATTAGAAAACAGACGTGTGTCGGTAAAGAAAATAAAGCAGCTCGCTATTGAAATGTTCGGACGGTGCCAAAATTTATGTTTGCCAAAAATTTTATGACTTTTCATTAATTAATCTTACTAGTGCTATGTAAATATGGCGAGGAATTAATGGAACAATAATATTTGTACATTAGTCTTAAGGTTAATAATAATAGTAAGAGACATTTTACACGTGGCGATTTATTTAAAGAATAAGAACAAAAATAGTAATTCAGGTAGGTAAATTCTGTAGGTCCAAATGATACGAGACAGTATTGTAGACAGTTTCATTTTGTAGAAATTTGTTGAATATTGCATTTATATTGAACCAACGGTTTAGAAGTTACAAGAGTTATAATGAATAAATGCACAAACGCATTGGTGAACTATATATAGTACAGCGGGTCAATACAGACCAAGACGTTGTCACGTCAAATATAGCATGTGGGTACTCATTTAAAAGGTCTCGATCAGCCCAAACCAAATTTTGGCTTTACAAACCAAAAAAAAAAACAATACAGAATTTCCTTACTTTGAACAATTTATTCTACATAATCATTTTTCTGTTTTCGATTGATTTTAAAGAGCTTGGAGTTACTGTAGGACTTCACAACTCTAGTAGGTTCTGTAGATTATTTAATTCTGTACAAACTTGTTGAATATTGTATTTGTATTAGACAAACGGTTTAAATGTTACAGAAATTGTAAGAAGTAAGTACACAGACGAGTTGGTGAACTATATACAGTACAGCGGGTCAATACAGACCAAAACGTTGTTGGGTCAGATATGGCATGTGGGTACTCGTTTGAAAGGTCTCGATGAGATAAAGTCAAATTTCAAATTCAAAAATAACAAAAACCCATATAGAATTTCGTATCTGATACTTCTCAGCCTTCGCGTTCTAAATTGTGATTTTAAAGTACAACAAGTTTCTGTGGTCATTATGAAAGTTGACAGTATTACAAATTATTTAATTTTTGACAAATTCTAAAATATTGCATTTATATTAGACAAACGGTTTAAAAGTTACAGGAGTTGTAAGAAATAAGTACACAGACGTGTTCGTGAACTATATACAGTACAGCGGGTCAATACAGACCAAAACGTTGTCACGTCAGGTATGGCATGTGGGTACTCGTTTAAAAGGTCTTGATGCGATATATTCAAATTTTGAATTGAAAACAACAAAAACCAATATAGCAATCCGTATATGGTGCTTTTCAGCATTAAAAAATATTTGCGTTTTGAATTGTGATTTTAAGGTACACCGAGTATCCGTAGGTCAAAGTTATATCAGGCAGTATTGTAGATGGTGTAATTTTGTAAAAATTTGCCAAATAATTCACTTGTATTACATAAACCGTTTAAAAGTTACAAGTGTCCTAATAAATAAGTACATAGACCAAGTTGGTGAACTATATATAGTACAGCGGGCCAAAACAGTCCAAAACGTTGTCACGTCAGATAAGGCATGTGGGTACTCGTTTGAAAGGTCTTGATGAGACCAATCTAAATTTCAAACTCATACACTATAATATATTATACAATTCTCTATAAAACTTACATTCGTGATGGCGTACGTGGCGTAGTCCTTATTCTGCATGGTTTCGCTTTTGTTTTTAAAAGCCCTGTAATTTTCCCGAAGCTGCTTTCCATACTAAAATAGAAATAAACAAATGTAATAAAATATGTAATAAAAAAAAGTTTCATATTCTTCCCACATTTTACATTCCTTTATTGTTTTTCTTTATTTAGACTGGGATAGTTATAGATATAAGTTTATTTAGCATTAGTTATTTAAGTAATCAACAAATAGTAACAGCATATATCCACACTAGAAAGAATTACCATTGGGCAATCTTTCTAAATAAACCATATATTATAACATATCAATTACTTAATGTCTTCACTAAAACAGATTGTAATTTGAATGGTAATAAAAAAAAAGTTTTATATTTTTCCTACCTTTGCCAGTCTCATGGCAGTCAACCAGCCAGTCCGTTGCCTCTCACTATCGCAGGCGACACATCTAAGACTGCTGTTCGTCGAACTGGTCGAATTTGAATTTGGTGTGGTCGAAGTATTGTTGGAAGAGGAGTCCTCTTCCTTCAACATCGTATAGGCACCGCCACTGCCGGAGGTCAACTTGCCCGAGAGGAAGCCACCGCCGCCGGCGCCCTTGGACGGGGAAGAACCTGGGAGAAATAATAAAGGATAATTGATTTAAAAAAAAAATACAGAAAAATAAATAATATTTTATAACTAGTGGTAATAAAATATAAGAGCTTATAAATCGGGCGTTTGTATATGTATTACAGAAAGTAAATAAACAAAACTTAAACAAGTGGAGTTTGAATTAAAGGACCTTATCTCATATCTGTAAGAATTATATAAACTGACTTGCAAAGTTAAAATTATTAATTTTGAAGTATGTAAGTCAGCTTTAGAATTTTAGCCTGATTTAAAATTAATATCCCAATTATTTTCGATATTTAAAAAAAAACTGTACATATTTTTGGAATTTTTTTTTAATTTTGAAAATAAAAACTAGTGGTGCATGGTATCATGCCTTTAGTTTAAAATTGGTAAAAGCACAGAAAACAAAATTAGATTTTGTTGAAAATTTTGAATTTTTTGAAAATTTTGAAAATTTACAAATTATTAGAAAAGTTTGAATATTTCGAAGAAAATGTCATTTTCGTGGTGCATGGTATCATGCCTTTAGTTTAAAATTGGTAAAAGCACAGAAAACAAAATTAGATTTTGTTGAAAATACACAAATTATTAGAAAAGTTTGAATATTTCGAAAAAATGCGATTTTCAATACTGATAGTTTTTAAAAACTTGGAAATTTTCTGAATTTGTTTTTTTTTATTTTGAATTTTCTTGATTTTTTTTGAAATCGCAAAATATTTGATTTTCGCCAAGTGCAATTTTTTTAAAAAAAAATTTTTGGATCTCCGAAATTTTTGCAAAACATTCTTTATTACATCAATACAAATAAAATGTTTTCTAAATTATTTAAATCGGATGCTCCATTCTCTCAAAAACTCGATTTCTATTTTCTGCACTCTTTGCTTCGTATCTCCGTAACGGCTAGACCTGCCTTTGCCAAAAACTAATCAGCACATTACCCTATCAACAGAAATCGAATGTTTTCTAAACTATTCAAATCGGTTGATCCGTGCTCTCGAAATCATCAACCCTATCAACAGGAATCGAATGTTTTTTTAACCATTCAAATCGGTCGATCCGTGCTCTCGAAATCATCAACGAAAAATTGTATCCACACACACACACATATAGATCCATTTTTTCTAATGGTATGCTAAAATCAGAAATCTCTGAAACGTGAAGATATACAAAAGTTGTCAATTTCGTTTTTTGGTTGATTACAATAACTTACCCTACGGAGAATTGAAAAAAATTATGGTCCACGGATTTTAAAACAGAAATTAAATTGTTTTTTTTTTTGAATAAGTAATTTTACAACTTGATATGTTTCTAGAAACGCATTATAGATTTAGTTTTGTACAAATTTGTCGAATATTACATTTTCCTTGAACAAATAGTTCTAAAGTTACAAGAGTTGTAATAAGGAAGTGCATAAATGATTTGCTGAACTATATATAGTACAGTGGGTCAATACACACCAAGACGTTGTCACATCAGGTATGGCATGTGGGTACTCATTTAAAAGGTCTTGATGAGCCCAATTCAAATTTTTAAAAAAATTGTAGGGTTCCGTACCAAGTTTATGATAGTCCATTTCTGTATTCACTTCTAATTTTAAAGTATACCGGATTGCTATTGGACATTATAACTATAGAACCTATTATATATTTAAACTAGTGGTGTATGGCATAGTGCCTTAAGGCAAATTGCTGGAACTTCCCGTACCGTAACGAAATGTTCGAGAAATATTAAATGTTTTCAAATAAATTAGATTAATATAAATACTGTAACATTGTCTAATATTTATAAGAATTATATAAACTGAGTTGCAAAGTTAAAATTACTTGAAGTATATAAATGAGCTTTAGAACTTTAACCAGAATTAAAATTTAAATCTTTAAATCAAAAATTATTTTCGAGATACAAAAATGAAAAAAAAAATTAGAAAAAAAATCTTTTCTAAAAACAATTCCTTTGTTAACACAAACAAAAAGTTTTTTGAATCATTCAAATCGGATGCTCCGAAATTTTCATTTTCGATTTTTGGGCAATTTTTATAATGTTTAATAAAGTTACAAAAAGTGTGATTGTACAATTGCAGGAAATTTGAGAATAAATAGATAAGAAAATACTTAAATTTCAATCTGTTACCAATATGTATATGTTATAAATAATTTTACTGACATTGTCTCAATCTAAAATATCAAAGGAAACACAACATTCAAAAATTTCGTTCCAACTTCGCGAGACAAAACAAACAACAATTGTACTCGAAGCGGATATCCATCAATGTTTATACAAAATACAATTGATTAACAATCGATATTTATGTTTATATTTATTGTAAAAGGAATGTCTGATCGTGAGACAGATATTGTATACAAATTATTTCACAAAGAGAAAAAAATTCCATCGTTGTGGTATTGACAATGTGTCAGGTGATATCCGGGCATACACTTTACACTATATGGACTGCCAGTCCTCATATGTTTTCCCTTGTATATAGTGCTCAAACATAGAAGGGACTGTGACGTCACGTGTCTGAGCGAACATTGCCGACGACAGTCGCGGACTCTCCCGATTGATCAAATGTCATATGTCATATGTCATATGCTACGTGATTAACATGGGCCTAACATAATATATAAACCGATTTTAGCAGGTGCTTTCGATTTTATGTAAGGAAAATATTATTAACACTTACGGGACGGCACCGATTTCAAAACAATCTACTCTACCGGCTGTAAACTTGATTTCATTGTGTATGTTATGCAATTTGTTTGATAAAAATTTGTGGTCATTGAAGGGAATATATTTATAATATTAATTTATTTTTGATCATTTCATAAAGAATGGTGTCGTTCAAAACAATTTCCAAAATGCATAGCTGGTTGATTTTGACATGTTTTACAATAAAATGTTTTTCGCCGCCTTCCTCCTGGTGCTTTTCTGTCAGAACAGAGAATGCAATGCCTTTTTCTTCTCTCGCATTTAGAATATGCCACTGGTTAGTCAGTATATTTGTTCATTTTTGTGCTGTCATAATGGTTTGTTTTTTTTTTTCTATTATATTGTCTAATGATTCATTTGTAAAATATAAAGTAAAATAATCTATTGGATGTCTTATATTGCTTGGTATTTGTAGTCGGGGTGTTTGTTGATGTATGTCAAACTCGATTATTGAAGGAAAATCGGCACATTCGCTAATGTCTTTCCCCTGTTCATTTAATTTGTCAAACTTCTTCTTTTTGTTGGTTGGATAATATCATCATCACATTCATCACTACATTCGGCGGGAATAGTATTTTCGTAAAATTTGTTTGTATGAATGTCTATTTGAAACTCTGCTGCTTAAGGGGGGCGATACATGTAATCGCCTTAATTTTTACCATTTTTTGAGGACTTTTTAAACTGGGAAGGAATGATTGAATCTTTTTGAACTTTTTTAGGGTTATTTATTATATATTAAAATACACAAAAAAAATTTTTTTTAATTTTTTTTTTTAAATGGCTGCCGTAAAAATAAATCTGCCAAGACCCTCTCGGAAAACGCCATCAATTTGCGGGCGTTCTCACTTTTCGTACGGTGATCTGAATTTAAAAAAATTAGTTTGTACGTGTTCATAAAACATATATCTTCTAGTTAAACCAAAAAAAAATAAAAAAAGTCACAAAATCGTAAATTGGCACACCTTAGAAAAAAAAGTTCGATTTTTCACCTTTTTTTCAATGTTTTTTTTGGTAAAAGGGTTAATTTTTGAAACATTTTTTGGAATGTTTGAGGTTTAACTAGAAGCTATTACTGTAAAGTAGATGTGTGCAAAATTTCATTGGAATCGGTTGAGAACTTTTTGAGTTATCCCGCCCGCAAATTTCAAAAATGTCGTTTTGAGAAAAACGCGTTTAAAGTTTTGACCCATAGAAACAGATAAGAGTAAATAGCACTCAAGCGTCGAGTTGAGGCGTGGCACTTAAATGAGTTTTTATTGTATAAATAATGATAATTTTGTTTTGAATATTTACAGGCATATTTTTGAGATGTTATTGTAACGATTTATGAAAGAAAAAAACGATTTTTTTTTTCTTGTTACATGTATCGCCCCCCTTAATTCACAAAATTCACAAGTCGTTTTGCCATATTTAAAAGCGCTCGGTCGTTTTAAATATTAAAAAAAAAGACTATAGAGCAAAGAAAAAGGCTATAAATACTACTAAAATAACTTAAAATTATTTTCAAAATACATCACTGTTTATCACTGCTATATGTAATTTATTCAACTTTTCGATGCAAACTGAGTCATTGTTTACAAATTAGCCTGTGCCTCACAGAGTATGTTTGTCCACTCAGGTGGACAGCCGTCCCCAAAGAGTTAAAATCATTTCTTACAAAATGATCAGCCATCACAAATGCCATTATTGAAATAAAACATATGACATGTGACATTTAATCAATCGGTGGAGAGTCTGCGATTGTCGTCGGCAATGTTCGTTCAAGCATGTGACGTCACATACCCTTCTTGGTTTGAGCAATTATTTTGCGCTCGACTAGATTTGCTGAATTTTATATAGTACAGTGGGTCAATACACACCAAGACGTTGTCACATCAGGTATGGCATGTGGATACTCATTTGAAAGGTCTTGATGAGCCCAATTCAAATATTTAAAAAAATTGTAGGGTTCCGTACCAAGTTTATGATAGTGCATTTCTGTATTTACTTCTAATTTTAAAGTATACCGGATTGCTATAAGATATAACTATAGAACGTATTATATATAAACTAGTTGGGTGTTTATCACTGCTATATGTAATTTATTCAAGTTTTCGATGCAAACTGAGTCATTGTTTACAAATAGCCTGTGCCTCACAGAGTGTGTTTGTCCACTCAGGTGGACAGCCGTCCTCAAAGAGTTAATATCATTTCTTACAAAATTATCAGCCATCACAAATGCCATTATTGAAATAAAACATATGACATATGACATTTTATCAATCGGTGGAGACATATGACATTTTATCAATCGGTGGAGAGTCCGCGATTGTCGTCGGCAATGTTCGCTCAGACATGTGACGTCACACATCTTTCAATCTTTTCACACTTATTTTGCGCTCGACTAACAATCCACATAATATAAGGTCTATGTGGGTATCTGATTGTTTGTTGTAATTATTTTTTTTTAATTATTACCTGTAGAATCTTTCGGTTGTATGTTAGTAGAATTATCTCTAAGTGGTCTCAAACAAAGTCCGTATTCTGCAGGAGCCCTATAATGGTTCCTTGCATTTAGGGTGTAGTAAACTTGGTACTCTTCCAGATCTGCAAACAGCTCTAGGGAATTTTCTTCGTCCTCCTGAAATTGAAAAAATACATTTGACTAAATTTATAAAAATTTAGTATGTCTTTTTGTGTGTGTGTAGCTGTGAAAATTTGGGAAACTGTTAGGTATAGTCCAGACAGAAATTCGGTAATTTTGATTAAAATCAGGTGGTGGAGGATGGGCACCCTGAAGAATTAAGAAGAATGTTTAATTCTTCTTCAAAAATAAAAGATTTTAAGAATAAATTTGAATTACATTTAAAATTCTGTTTGCAATTTTCATTTCCAACAATTATTAATCATGTTCTGTTTTAGCTTAAGATTTTTTCCTTTTTAGATTCTATGTTTTCTTACCTATATATATTTATATAAGTGTATGTAAGTAATAATTCATCTAATTTGAAATGTTTATTTATAGCGACACATGTTAACGATTAAGATTTCTAAATCGTCTTACAAAGTGTGGAAATGAATCTTTGTGCCATTTCTTGCCAACATCTGTTACAACATTGTTAGGAGGAACTAATAATAATTTGAGATTATTATTTATATTTCATATTTATGAGAAACGATTAGCAGAGAGAAAGCAGACGTTCTTTCGAGAAAAAGTTGGAAAAAGTTTTATGAACAAAATACATAAATCATTTCTTGGACATCGCTATTAATGGCTATAAATTACATCAAAAGAGAAAGAAAACAGTTTAGAGGACTTTTATTTTTCTGTACGTTTCGACGTGTAATATAATGTCATCATCAGTGTAAATAGAAACATCATGCCTTAAGGCAAATTCCGTACCAAAAATTTAAATTTTTAAAAAAGAATTAATTTTCTTTTAGAGCTCTGAAAAAAATCGATCTGAGATTTCTAAAGTTTTTGAAAAAAATTGACCTTTTTTGAACAATTTGATTTTTTTATACTTCGATATAATTTTAAAAAATTGAACTGTTTTTCAAAGCACTCGCGATACGTTAGCTGCTTAGAAACGAATAATCGAAGCGCGTGAGCGCCGCGTCGCGTAACGGATAAACATTGAAACGGAACTTATTTGAAAATAAACAAAATTTGTTATTATTATTAATATATCTGTAAATTATGTGATAATTAGATGAACATAAGTCTAACGATCATTTTTGTCCACCAAATGGCATTTTTTCACTTTTTTCATTGAATCTTCCAAACTGCTAGACCTGCCTTCCCAAAAAACTCCATGAGTTCTTCATTTCGTCAATACGATAAAAATGTTTTTTTTTGAATCATACAAATTACCATTTTTGGCACTTTATGCCCCGTATCTCCGAAATATCCGACCTGCCGTTACCAAAAACTAATGAGCACGTCTCCTTATCAATACGAATCGAATGTTTTTTTTTATTATTTAAATCCGTTGACTCTAGTTCCCGAAATTGTCGACGAAAATTTGTATCCGCACATACACACACATACATACATTTTTTCTAATTATAAAGTATGTCAAAATGTTCAGAAACCTTTGAAACGTAAAGATATGTAAAAATTTTCATTTTCGATTTTTTTGCAATTTTTATAATATACCCTACGGGAAGTTAATAAACATTTATAAAGTTATGAATATAATACAGAAATAAAAATTCACTTATAAATATAAATTTGCGGATAGTTGCATAAGTTTTATTTATAGCCTGAACCATTATTTTTTGGCAAAATGCTTTCTTATTATTCAATTTCCTTGGAATTTTCTTTTAACATTCGATTGAGTTATTGGCTTAAATCTAAAATGTCAATTTGTATGGAGATGTCACGGCCTAACGCGCCTTTTCTATTTATATAAATTTAGACATACATACATACCTAAATACATACAAACACATACATATTTTCATATACATAATATATTATAATTTTTTTTTATTTTCTTATAAATTACAATGTGTCTAAATAAAAAGATATTGAGTAATTAGTTTGACAAATAACATATTAAATTTTAAAAGGAAAACCCAGTGGTTCACCTTTTATTAGTGTACTAAATTATATTATAATTTTGGTATAATAAAGAAAAAAAAAGAGAAACTCAAATATATATGCAATTATAAACAAAGTACATTACACAGACTACGCATACATACACACACCTATTTTAAATAATATTGTAGAACAACTTATTACTTATTAATATGTTAGATCTATTAATTGTATTCTTCTTAATCTTATATTATGTGTGGTGTTGTAAAGACTTGCAATCAGTTCGTTTAATATATTATAAATGTTTTTTTTACTAAATTAGTAAACTGCTAAACCGATTTTGAATTTGATTGGTGTAGTTGAATCATTTCAATTGATTTTAACAGTTAAAAAAAACTAAATATAGTTGTCAATTAAACAAGTTGTTTCTGATGGAACAAATAGCTCAGTAAGCGGCATGCCCGACTCACACGTCAGGAATAGTCGGTTCGAGACCCTGGCACTAACACAAAAATGTCATTTGATTTAGCAAATATTTACCTCATAAAAAACAAAAAAAAAAAATGAATAAATCGATGCGTTTCTGTTTTAGTATTATTGTGAATCGTCAGTACATATATGTTTATATTCATATAAATATTGATTATTTACTATCCAGAAATGTGTATGTGTTTACAAAATTATTTGCGTGTCCGCAGAAATGCGAAAATAAACCTGATTTAGTGGATTCAGAACTGACCAACTCAACGGCCGACGAAATAGACACCATAGGCAGTGTCAGGGACACATCAAAATAATATTATCTCATTCACCAACTCTAATTCGATTTAGAAAATTAATTATTATATAATTGATTATTATACATAGACAATTTTCTATCTCAATGTATAAAAAATATTTTTCTCTCTCGTTTGATGTAATATAATTAATAATCTCTATTAATCTGTATATCTTTCGATTGCATTTCCACATTGTGTACAGTTGCGAAACCCTTCAATTAATTCTCCAGAATTGCACAAAATGATGCAACTGATGACTAAAAGTGCATCATCATCAATTTGAATACAAATTCTTCTGCTCCTTTCTAGTTGACCTTGCCAACTCTTATCATAGATAGTCCGGACAGGTTCAAGTTCTTTGTACTCGTGTACATTGATTTATTATCGATTGCATTATGAAATTATAAAGAAAACTATATAAGGAATCTCTCTAGAAAACCCAGAAAAACTGAGTATCTTTAGTATACATTTTTGGGCTAAAATATTAATTTTGTGAAGACAAGAACATGTATTTGCCTCTAGTTATTCATCACCAAAGTCAGGTTGTGTCATCTGGCAATACTATCGTCAGGATAATTTAAGACATTGACATTCTGATAGTCAATTTATTTATATGAATTTGTTAATTAAATGTTATGGCAAGGCCATTTTACGGTCTAAGTTCCATACATTATGCTACTGAATCATACTGAGCTGAATACTGTCATATTGTCATGTATTTGCTGTGCATTCAGGTGTTTTACACATAATCTTCAATGTCACTCGTATGTTATGAACCTGAGTCAGAAAGACCCTGTTATCTACGATCGTTTTTTTTATATTTGTGCGGTTTCTAGGTTAGGTTTTCTATCTGACAACCTGAGAAATACGCCTGACTACACACCAACCACATGGCTTTTGTCAATATTTAGTATGGAAAGTTCTTCAAAACATGGCCTTGCCATAACATTTTTCTGTTAGGGGGCAGAATCGATCCCTAAGTATACATTCTGAGTAAATAAGAGGATATGCAACAGAATTGAAACAGGAATTGTCTTTAAAGTGTTAAACAAAAAACAACATGATATTTGATATTTTTGGTAATATTTTAATAATGCCCAAAATAGTATAAAAAATCAAAACTATATTTAATTTATTTTTTTATCAAATATTAAGTACAGTACTCTTTTTTGTTCTATGTTAAATTTTCCATTTTTTCCTAGATCTTCAGAGTTCAGAATTCAGAATTTTGATATTTATTTCGCTCGTTAGTAAAGTTCGTTTGATATTTAGTTTGCTCATCAGTAGAGATTTTATCAGTTTTAGATTTTTTTTTGAACTAGTCAATAGTCAAGGAAATTAAAAATAATCTTTAAAAACCGAGAATAAAAATGTTTGTATATTTTTAAAGTCCGAACATTTAGGTATAGCTTTAAAAAAAATAGTGTATGTGTGTGTGTATGTACGTGCGGATACAAATTTTCGACGACGATTTCGTAAACACGGATCAACCGATTTGAATAATTCAAAAAAAACATTCGATTCGTATTGATGGGGAGACGTGTTGATTAGTTTTTGCCAAAGGCAGAACCAGCAGTTTCGGAGATACGGGGCAAAAAGTGCCAAAAATGCCCAGTACGGGGCAGATTGAATTTTTGGCAAAGCAGGTCTAGCGGTTTCGGAGATCCAATAGAAAAAGTAAAAAAGTAAAAAAAGTAAAAAACAATTATATTTGGCGGTCGAAAATAATCATTAGACATATGCACAAATTATCAGATATTTTATAGAGATTGTAATGATAAGAGGAGGCGTTTACGCGCTTTGATATTTCGTCTCTAAAACAACTACGCAAACGGTTGTCCCATCTCTATATGATGAATTATATAAAAACAATTATTGTAATATTGATGATTTTTGTTATTAACTCAGTGATATTCTTATATCTAGGTTACTATCTATATTGCCAAGTAAAAATATATGCTGCTTGACATCAGGTTGCCCGGGACATGTGTCGAATCCGAAATTTTTGATACGAAAGTTATGGCTGTAATCGGTTTCTATGATTTAACTTAACAAAATACGACAAAATCTGTTTTATAGATAGCAACCCAACGGTTGTCCCATATCTACGTGAGAAATTTTATCTTTACAATTATAGTAATATTGATGACTTTTTCAATGATGCAGAAATACTTTGAGAGGCTATGTATACTTGTAAATAGGTTACTAACTATATTTCTAAAACATATACTGCTTGATATCAGGCTGCCCGAGACAAAAATTCAATCAGAAACTTCCGACTCAAAAGTTATGGCTATAATCTGTTATTATAAATTG